AGTCCTTGTATCAAATTTCTTTTTTTTTTTTTTAAAAAAAATAATAATAAAGCCGACAAGCCAAAGAAAACAATAAAAGAGAATAGTCTGCATTTAACTTTCTTTCCGTTGCTTTAGCAGCTTAAAGACTGTACTGGTGTTAAAAGAAGAAGAAGAAGAAAAAAACTGAACTTTGAATGAATGAATAAGATGCTAGAATTGTTCTTTTTGAATAAATGAAGCACCCCGATGCGGCTGGCTTAAAACAAAACAGTGCAGTTTCTTCTTGTTCTGCTTGATTGGCTCACTTACTGGGATCTAACTCTAGATTCCAGAAATGGTGATTTCATTAATTGTTGGAAATTTTGTTGGAAACCGCATCCCTTAATTGTTTTTGGAATAGGACCTTTGATTCCGTTCCATCTCCTCCTGATTGACTACCGTGCCGGGACGGGGAAACATCTCCTAGCGGTAAAGGAGAAAACAAAACAAATAGTACCGGCATTAAGATTACATCTATAGAGAGAATCCTTTTGATGATGATTACTAAAGCTAAACCAGAATCTTCCTTTTCATTCATTCTTCGGATGAATTTCAGTTAATTAGGAAGCATGCTAGAAAGATTTTTGTGCCATTGCCAAATAGCACCATGATAGAGAGCAATGGTTAAGCCAATTGTGATTGATATATAATTCCTTTTTTTTTTTTTTTTCCGGAGAGCAATCTTTAAATTATATTCATACTTAGCTCGTCCTCTACTTGTGCCTCCTAATTCTAATATATCAAGAAGGGAAATTAGAAAGAACAACTAGTTATATTTGCATCTCAAATGCCTCGGCAAATAAACAAATATATAAGAGTAATTTTTTTCAGAATATACATGAACGAGTGTAGACATACACCATATAATTCAGTTTTAAATTTAAAATTCGTTTTTCGCGTGTATAGCATACATTTACACTTGTTGGTGTTAGCGTAAAAAAATTCGCTATACTGACAGCAGTGGATAAAAAGCCTAATCCAATAAATAAACAAGAAAGTATTGTCCAATTCTTGTGACCTTGGATCAAAGTACTTATACGCGTCCATGTCGGCTCTCTTCATATAATCTTTTTTCTTTTGGGAAAGTCCCGTAAACAGTCTTGCTTTACATGTTGGTATTCGTTGTTGAAGCTTCGACGTCTCATCAGTCCTGTATAAGAGTAGTAGTATCAATAATATTTCCCATCATTATTGTAGTACGGGAAAATAACCGGTTCAGATAGATAGAATAATCTCCCAAATAACCGGTTCACAAATTTTATATTTATGATACACATCTAGATTCGCAAACTGAAATACTAACAGTGTATGAAAACATTTACCAAAAAAAAAAAACAAACTCTACTATTCCAAGACAAAAAAGGTATTTTATGTTATAATTTTTTTTTTGGTTTAATAAATGTCATGTAAATATGATGAAATTGATCGAGTGATCTATCAATTCTATTTCCGAAATTTATTACTGGGTTATTGGATGGTTTGATTCAGATTGAAAATTAGATTGAGAGATATAATAGTTTTAATTTTTAAATATCAGAGACAAATTTGCTCCATTTAAAAAGTAAGGGACGAAAAGAATATTTTTAGGAAATGTGAACGACGAAACAAATCATTTTCCCTTGCAGTAATTTGCAAGCCTGCTGCGCAGCCTGCGCCAATTAACAATTGGCGGCCGCTTTTGCTTGCGGACGCATGAAGAATGCCTTCTCCTCCACGTCATCAATTCCAATGGGGAAAGAGAAAGCGGGTGAGCAAAATAGAATCTCCGATTTTAATCACTTTTATTCAACTAAGGAAATGTTAGTGCACTTGTCCTTACAGCTAAGAAATTGGTTATACATGTGTTTTCATAGATTATTGAACTTCGATGAACTAAAAAATTTTTAGGAGATTGTCTAAAAAAAAAAATGGGACGATATTATAGTATTATTTATGATTTAATGCATGTGAGATAATAAAATAATTGAGAAGATAAAAAAAAAAAGATGAAAGAAGGTGTTTAAAAAGCAATCAAATTATTATCATTACTACTACAAATGACGCCCTACCAGAAAAAAGTGAAACTTATTTAAACTATACTCGTGAGAGTCATAATTTTTGTGAGATAATCCCATAAGAATTGCTATAATTCATAACAAAAGACCCTTTGGGCTGGACTAGAACGAGAGATAAACATAGCAGGTTAGACGTTTGACTCTCAACTCAAGAGTGTGTTTGGATTGTAAAACTTTGTTTGGATTGCATTTTTTTGAATTTTTTGTAAAAGAATTACTGTAACGATTTGATATGTGTGAGATAAAAAGATGATTGAAAATATGTCAACGAAAAACGTAGAGCAATCCAAAATTTTTTGTTTAAAAAAATATTTTATTGACACGTTTTTAATTTATATCTTTTTCCCATATACATCAAATAATTAGAGAATATTGCATCACATTTTAAAAAGTTTTTTTTAAAAAAAAAGTTGTAATACAAAATAGGATTCATTAAATATTTTGCAATCTCTTTTGAACTAAAAGTCGAGTATTTCAACATTGCACCTTACATCTGGGTTTAGATGGACCTCCACTCTCACCGCTGTATAACCCAGCTAGATTCTCCACTGCAATTTAGTGTAGGTTAGCACAGTTGTTGTCAATCGTCTTTCTTTTTAAAGAAAAACAGTGATAATTATTCTAGTATTCGTAAACCAAGAAAAAGAAAAAGGAAAAAAAAAAAGAAGCGAATTGCAGTAAAAGTTTTTTTTTTTTGGGATAATAGCAAAAGTTAAGAACTGATAAATACGCAACACAAATTGGGATGTGTAGAAAGCCGGCGGTAGACGACAAGGGTTTAAAGCGTTCGAAAAGGAAGGAGGCGTTAGGCAGGTAAGTAGTTTGAACAAAGCAAAGCATGGTAGACGGACGCCAAACGCTGCAGACTAGACGGAATATAAATATGATTGCTGGCGGACATATTTGGCCCCACCGTTATCTGCCTGTCTAAGTTATTAAACGTCTACGTCATCCTCCCTCCTCTTCCATTCTCCAACGCGTCTTCCGATCACCATTTTCTCTACGCGAGGCAATTTCCTTTCCCCTTCACGCTTCTCAGATGAAGATTCTCTTAGGATTCTAGATGCATCATCAAGGGCCACACATCAAAACTTCAAAGCATCTGACCAGTCGGTCTTGGAAAGTGATGTTTTGCATTCGCCGTTGGAATATCATGCGTGCAACCAATAGTCAGCCTGCTTTGTAAATTTCCTACAAATTTCTTGTTTGACAACTTTTAGTGGGAAATTTCCGGATAGAAAAATGTTCGGATAGAAATTTCCTTTTTGTTTCTTCTTTTTATTTATTTTTTTAACCCAAATGAAGTTGGATTCATTCACGTCATGAATAGAATTGACTTCATTCATTCTTCTAAGAAATGTATGTTTCAGAGCGTAGATACTACTTGTTTTCATAATAAAACATAACATTTTGCATACTGTATTAGTATCATCAGCCAATTAGGCACCAAATAAGATTGTTGAACCAAATGGTAAGAAACTTGTACTTGTCAAGTATGGTCTTGATTGCGAGTCTTCTTGCGAGCGATCAAAGCAAAATAATCACCTCGTTTGTCAAGTGAATTTTTTTGGATATTTGTCTAAAATTTTTTACTGTTACCTACTGTAAAAGTTTTTTTAAAAAAATTTTTTGAAATATATTTTTTTAATATTTTAAAGTGTATAGTTTAAAAGTTTTGAAAAATTTATTGAGATTACTATAGTTAAAATTTTTTAAAAATTTGTAACACATAAATTTAGCAAAAAACTTGCCAGCCAAACAAAGCCAATTGGGAGAGTCACTCAAAAAAAAAAAAGTCCTACAATATTCGATTTGAGACTAATCAGGTCCAACACCACCATCATCATCGTGCTTACACTAAAAAAAAAGGGAAAAAAAATTGGCCGGCTAGCAGTTCTGCATAATTAACTACTAGTAGCATGTTTTCTTCCGGAATAGTACGAGTACACTATTAGATGGATCATAGATGGAAGGAAAGGAAGAATATGAACGTTATAATCCCACGTAGTCTGAGTCGAGTTTTGATCTAATCGAATTGAGTTTCTAGTTAATTTTATGAAACTCGAACTCGAGCTCGACGAGTTTTTATTTTAAAAATAATAAATTTATTTTTTAAAATAAAAAATAATTATTTATTTTTAAATTAAATAAAATATTAGAAATATATATATAATTTTACCATTAAAATAAAATATATATATATAATTGAACTCGCGAGCCAATGAGTTTAATATTTTTGAATTCGAACTCGAATTTAATTTAATTAATTCGAATTCGATATTGATCGAATTCGAGTCGAACTCGTACTCCACCCGGTCGCGAGCGACTCGATTCGTGTAAGTATAGTTGTGTTATAATAATAGAAAAAGCCAAATGACAGTTTCTGGTGGGCTCAGCGTGAGACGTACCAGTACAAAACCGTCCAGCTAGAACCTATCTGCGGCCCGACTCCTTAGACCGCCCCTGTAGGTTTAAAATAAATAAAAAAAATAAATACTCCTACTCCAGAAAAGAGAAAGCTGGGGTCCCCATTTCTCATAAGCTTCCCCGTCATTTACCTTTAAAAATTTGACATGTCCACTCTATGGTGAACATTTTCCCCTTTAATTAAAATTTCAATGGCTGATATTTCCTCAAAAGACTCCAAATATTTTATGCTCAGAATATATCTGACATCGGATCACATCAAGAAACAGATCAACTCGTGAAACAAAAGCTAAACCCCCAGTCTATCCAACCACAAATGCCAACAAGTCTTTAACTTTATCCCCCTTTTACTTTACTTTGCCCGAGCAATGAGCATCCCCCCCGCCCTCTTGTTTCCCTCAATTTCCACCTTTTAAAAAAACATCATACATAGCATAAATTGCAAATTTTGTATTCATTTTGACCAAAACTCCCACTTATTCCCTTCCTCTATATAAACCTTTCCATCCCCCTTCTCTCTCCTCATCCCATTTCTCTCTATTCATCTTCCCCGCTCGCTCTCTTGCCTCCAGTCTTTCGGACCCTTCATTACTTCTTCCATCGCTTTTCCGCGAAAATGGCTGAAACTACTCAGCCTAAACGCCAAAGAGAAGACGACCATTATCAATGTGAGGAGGATGCAAAGCGGCATAAGTCATACAATCAAATCCTTTCTATTCTTGAAGAAGAAGAAGTTGAGCCTAACCAAGACTTGCTGGATATTTTTCAAAGTCTTCAGCAAGAACTCTCCTCCGCTTCATTCTCCGTGGACCCTTTACAGGTTTCTGCCTCGGCGGCGGACGTTGACCACCGGAGCGGTTTTTCCGGCGAGTCGGAGTCCGGCAGCCCGAGCTCAAAAGAGGATGATGAAGAAGATGATGGAGTAAGAATGATGAGACATCTTCTGGAAGCTTCTGATGATGAGCTTGGACTTCCCAATAGATCGGAGAGCGGTGAAGAGGAGATTAAGAGTGGGGAAAACGCTTTGTTTTTGGGTGACGGGCTGTGGGAGTTTGAGGATGATGCTGCAAACTACTATACTTTGCTGCAGTCTGAACTTTTCATGTAGTTTTTGGGGGGGTTAGAGTGTAATTTAGGATATTTTAGGGGGTGGGGTATGATGAGGAAAATATGGAGGGAAAAAGTGAAAGTGGAGGCTCTTTTTGGTTTTTCATTTTTGTACCCTCTTCTTTTGTACAATATTAAAGTTAGCCCCACTGGAGTTAGATGATAATCAGTGCTAATCATTAGAGTCATTAGATTTATTATCAAGAAAAAAGCTACTCAGTAGTGCCTTAGTTCAATTTTGGACACTAAGGATGTCCCTCAATTTCCGGGGGGATTTGCAAAATGGGACCTCCTCTTGCTTTAACATTTCAGCAGGAAAATCTTTGCCAGCGTGAAATCGGAAGTCATGAAAAAGATTGATGGTTATAACTTTTATGACACAGTACATACCACAAATGACACGATAAATTGCCAAATTACAGCATCTCAACCAAGTTGATATAACCTGGCTGGTCACTTTTATATTTTCGATTCTTCGTCAAATTGGCTAAGATAAAAAAAGAAGCCAAACCAAAAAGAAAATGATGCAAGATGTAAGCTCCATCCATGGTTTGTGGACAAGAAGGGTAAACAAACTCTTTTTTTTTTTTTTTAAATTATTATTATTACGGGAAACTAACTAGGAATCCCCAACTTATTCTAATTGTTAACTTTTGACTCTCGATTTATTTCAAGTATTGAATTGGCCCCTTTAAAAAAATTGATAAAATTTTGATTATTTAATCTATTTTCATCATTGGATGAATTTTGCACTTAGATCCATTAAGATTTAACCGTGAAGATATATAGATGGTATAGAGTCGCAGTTCAGTCCTTCAAAAAATCAGATTATATGTTATTTTTTAAGTGTAAGTGAAAGGTCTGGAATCTAATATCGACTTCTCGCGTATACTTTATTTTTCTATACTACTCAACTTTATCCCATCTTAAGTAAAGTACTTTGAGAAGTTTACATAAAGTATTTCAAGCTCCAAGAGTGCTCATGGAATCTAAGATCCTGTTTGATAATTCAAGCTAATAATTAAATTTAATATATTTAAATCTTAATATATTCAGATAGTTTTATAAGTAAAAATTAAACATTTGAATTAATAAAATAATATTTTATAAGTAAAAATTAAACATTTGAATTAATAAAATAATACGTAAAATTCGTTTTCAAAATTTAGTAATAAACTATTTATTTATCACTTGAATATGATATGCACTTAAATGTATTAGATTTAATAGTTAATAATTTAATAATTTAATGAATTTAAATTTCAATTTTATCAAACGCACCCTAAATTCAAAAGATTCTTGCAAGACAAAAAGACAATGAAAAAACAAAAAGAAGTTATTTTTAGTTCAAAATATATTTTCTAGCGTCTAAATGATCTTTTTTAAGATAGACCTTGATGACAACCAAACTTTTCTACGAAACTCTATATTACCTGTTTCTTTAAAAAAGTTAAACTTTGCAAGATTTAAGGGAACTAATTCTTTTATAATTGTAAAAACTAATTAAAATTCTTCTTAACGTAAAGAGAAAATTTTTGATAGTAGAAGTTACTTGTGATTTACAAAACTACCGATGGATAAAAAGAAAGTTAATACTTAGAAGAGTTGAACTCAGACAAAAATCAGAATTTCAAAAGTACTATACAAGATACTGCTATACAGTATACACCCCTTAAGAATATATACTTTGGATAGACTTGGCCTATACCATACTAGCAAATCATGTAGCATATCTAACAACCAGATATGTATGGCTATAAATGATAGTAATAATGTAAGAGATAAGCGATGATGAGTCGCACGTCATCCCTACACAAGCGTCTACCTGCTCCTGAAAAGCTAACCTCAAGAAAATTTAACACTCACCAATTTTTATTTCCTAATTCTATTCCAAAAAAATTACCCATTGGATAGTAGCATGGTACTTTGTGTATTTGGATACCTATTCTTTTAAAATACTAATTACATTATTCATAGGTACATAATTTTTAATTATCTATTTACCTCGTATATTTTATATTTTAGAAATATAAAAACTCCAAATATAATTATGATTCCAACTTGTACAAGGAATTGTGCACACAATACAACGTACATGCAGACGTAGCTCTCCAACCGTTGGATGATAAAAGCGGAGGCCAGGATGGGGAGGCCGTGGGAATAGATGATAGATCATATCAGACATCATAGATGTTGGAGTAACAGCTGACCCAAGAAGGCCAGAAGAGAAAGGGTGGGACCACCATCAGATCTGGATATGACATGTGGGGAGAAGTGATGGGGGCATCATCATGGCGTGACCTTTTTCCCATAGTATGCGGTATTGCGGAACCACCAGAACGGCCTACAGAGTCGTATAGTAGGATAAAAGTATCGGGTGGGGCCCTTCAATTAAAGGGCAGTCGTTGTGGTCCCTTCGATGTGATTGACGGCGAGTACCATCAGTACCTGATGCGGGAATGTATTGTCCGCCATGTACCTGCACCTGCAATGCAATGCACAATTTCCTGACCCTCTTTTGTCTTCTGTATCATATGGTACACATACATACGCATAGCTACATAACCATTTTTTTAAAAAAGAAAAAAGAAAAAAATTGATTAAATTTCAAATTCTTTTTTTTTTTTTAGTTTTATTGTTCGGATAGCTAGTTTTGAGAAACTTTTTTTTTTTTTTTTTGGGATTCTCTGAGAATAAATTTTCGAGATATCTTTTAGCCATCTTTGTATTTAACATACATATCATCTCATAAAAGTGTTAGCATAATTTTATTTGTTCAACAAAAACTCCCAAAAATTTATTAGATAGGAATGGTTGATAAGAATTTTTTTTTTTCCCATTCCTCAAGCTTGGTTTTCACAAACTAGGGGGATTAGGACTACTATAAAAGGAGTATTAATTACAAGATGGTTTATCTAATCAAGTATGATAATCTAATTTATTGAGAAAATGATAGACAATATGTATCCCAAGAACTTTTCTATTTAACTAATTTTCATTAAAAAGAAATTTCTCCAACAGATCGAAAATATTATAACTCTGACACAGCAATTTGTTATTCAGATTAAATAATTTTTATAAATACATTATTCCCAGATGCAATCAATGTAATAACTATTGATTAAATAAATATGTTACTTTATGCAATACATGTATCGATAGCTATACCATAAGAGAAGAAGTTGAAGGTTGCAATAGCGGTTACATTTTAAAGAGACGAGCGTAATATGCATACAATCCATAATTAACAGACTAATCAATGGACTAGATTTAAAATTTATTGTACTGGTCCATTATGTGAAGCATTATTGTGTATGATTGTAATTGAGATCTTCCAGTATTTCTTAAATCTTACCCTTTTTTGCTATTTTTTAAAATAAAAAATTTTCAGACCTAGGCATTCCGTGCAGTATTAATTTTTTTTTTTTAAAGCAAGTGTACAGACTTGATTAAATCAAATGGATACTCTGACACTTTTTAAAATTTTTTCATTCCAAATGGAGTTCAAACTCTTGACTTATAGTCTAAATAAGGATTTAATCCCCGTACCGTATTGGTGAACTAAGCCAATACTCGGTGGTTTTCAATATAGGATTAATACTACTTCCCTGTCACTTTTACACACGATTCCAACGCTGCCTTAGACATTGACGAGGCATACAATAAATTACCCGTCCATAACTTGGGGCCCTTGAATTTCAATACCGGACGAACCTATATCTTTCTTTCATGACCATGATGAATGAGCGAAAGATAAAGGAGGCTGGGACTAAGACTCAAGAAACATTCAGGCAAATTGCTTGCCACTTTCGTGACAACTATGGAGAAGAAGATGGGGTCCCAATAATAAGAAGTCTCCCAAATAATTGACAGTATGATATACCCCCACTAAAAAAAAAAGTTAAGGTTTAAGGTTCCATTTGGATTGTTTTTTTTTTTTTCAGTTTTTATAAAAAAAAAAAATTTATACTGTAATGATTTGATGTATGTAAATTAAAAAAGTAATTAAAAAATGTGCTCACAAAAAATATAAATTTTTTAGTAGAAAACTACAATCCAAATACCACCTAATTGATTTGAAACTGGAAGCATCTACCAAATTGGTGATTTCACACTGGACTTCTGAATCTACTTGTCGTAAGTGTGCTGCCTACCATTGAAGAAATAATTTGAAGCATAAGCATACTAGTGCCACAGGCGTTTATAATATTGACTGATAACAAATCCAAGCCTTTCGGTCCCAAAACACTGATGTGCGTGACGAACTCTAGTCAAGTGAAACGTCTCTTCTCTTCCTTTTCATTTACTAGTACAAAGTTTCTCCCGTCGAGGAGGGGAATGAATGATTTATCAATTCAAGGTTGTATGGTTGCAGAGTTGAGGATTGCAGGTAAACTAATGGTAGGGTACTTGTCAACTTCCAGCTCTACAAAATTGAAGCACCATAACTGCACTCAATATGCAATTACCATCAGGCCATATTTGACATCCAGACTTTTATCTTCACTTGTTTCCTCCTCTTAAAAAAATGCTTATGCAAATATGAAATAATCCCCCAACATACAAACGTCTACCTTTTGTCCCTTAATTCTCGAACTCTGGCTGTACCGGTAGAGTCCTGAGCCCTAAGCAAAGCAGCTGAAGAAGAAGAAGAAGCTCTTCATTTTTCTTCTCTAACTGTCACTAGAATCAAAATGATATTAGCTCCAGGTCTTAAGATATAACATGCACCCCTTCTATTCGCCTAAAGATTCTTACTAAATAGATGCACTATTATCAGTGTTAAGTCAGACAGAAAAGACCGGGCGAATCAGAGAAACATTATTATTATTATTGCTTGCATGATACCGATTTAGATTAATCTTTAGAATCTACTTAACCTATATTTGAGTTTGGCTTTTCTTTTGGTGCCCTCATGGCTTCGTTTTAGCTGTAAACAAATATTGGAAGTTGCATGAGATACCCCAAAGACATGTATGTGCCCACTTCCTCAGGTGCCATTTCCCATTTCCCATTTCCGGCATATATATATATATATATATATATATATATATATATATGTACTAATTCACTCCTTGCTTTTCTTGACTGTATTTTCTAATAAAAACACAGAATTTCTTGGCATATATTCGCGGAGCACTCAACACAGGAGACAAACCAAACGGAAAGCCTAGAAGAACATTGTGGAGACGGCGGCTACGCATCAACTAATGGCTACTGCCGTATATTTTTTTAAACAGGATAAGGATAGACCACGTATGTAGAAATTGACCATTTTTTTAACTAGTAAATATATACTAGTTTTTTACTAG